CCCCACCCCCGTTTCCCACCCGCTTTATGGCGGTTTCCTCTCGGAAGCCCAGGGCTCTTCCCCCCGCTGGGTTTAGGCGCCCCTGGGAGCCCCCCTGCAATTCAGAAGCAGCTCGTGGTCAAGACCAGTTAGAGGCAGCTCATCATCAGCAGCGGGGCTCCAGAGCACCCCAACTAAGGGGGGGAAACAACCCTGCCCACCCCCCTCCCCCACCTCACGGACACGAAACAGACACAAAACAGCGGGCACCCCTCCCCAAGCGGCAGGTGTGGTGCCGGGCAACCAGGGTGGGCTGTGCACACTGCTGAGCCCAGCTGCGCGCAGGTGCCAGGACACGGCCGGAGTCTCTTTGCAGAGGCCGCGGACCCTGGCAAAGGCTTGGCCCTCTTCTCTGGGGAGGGGGTGCGAGAACACAGCAGGGGTCTCTGTGGGACAAGTCCAGGGGCAGCAGCAAAGGGTAGCACCACATCCACACTCAGAAGGGGCCTGAGATCCAGCCAGGCAGGGACAGTCACAGAAGCAGAGGAGGGGGGTGGGGAGTCTTCAGGTGGCCTGGCGGAGGGTGCAGATCCAGCCTGCGACCTGTGGCTCAGCACAGCTGGTCACTGGGCCCTCGCCAAACCGGACTTGGGTTGGGACCTTGTGTGCACGTGGGCTTCGAAGGCTCGAAGGCGGGGCCCTCCAAGTTCAGTCCAGGGCCCCTCGGCTGCCTACACTGGCCGGGGCAGAGCGCTGTGCAGCTGCTCATCATAGCGCTCCAACCAGGTGCGCAGCTCCGAGACCTGGTAGCCGTCAGGGCCGCGGCCGCCCTGGTACATGATGATGCCACTCTGGACGACGTAGAGCCGCTCAAAGTAGGCGCCGTAGGCTGAGCTGCTGGAGTTGGTCATGGTGTCGAGGACCAGGGCGCAGCCGGGCACCCCCTGCTGCAGAACCCGCGCGGCGCTGACCCGGTCGTCCAGGCTCCGGTGCTGTGGGATGATGTAGGGGGTGTCAGTGGTGACCCAGCCGTCCGAGGGGTGCGCCTCCTCGATGTAGATGATGAGAAAGTCCACGTGGCGCTGGTACTTGGTGACCAGGCGCCGGAAGGCGCTCATTCGCGCCATGAACGGTGGTCAGGTGCAGCTGCCGAAATTGAGCACCAGCGGCCGGTCCCCTCGCGCGTAGTCGAGGATGTGCTGGTACTGGAAGCCTTCGGGCAGGACCACCTGGGAGTTGGGCGCCGGGCCGCCCTCGTGCGCCTGCTTGAAGAGATCCAGCTTTTGGCCGTGCCACACCGCCTTCAGCGACGCCATGGTGCACAGGCGGTTGTCGTCGGACACGCAGATGGGCGGGTCGTCGGGGGGCACCTCCTCCTCGTCACTGTTGAGCTCTACTTCAGGTTCGGGCCGACCCCGGCGCCTCCGGCCCAGAAAATGCTTGCGGATGCACAGGAAGTCGAGGAGCCAGAGCATGAAGGCCGTGCAGAGGAAGCGCGGGAAGAGTGTGAGGCACGAGGCGGTCTGGGCGCAGAGCCTCAGGGCGTGAAGCAAGAGGGAGCGGAGCATGGTAGCCACGGCCCCCCAAGCCCCCTGGGACCCTCCAACCTCTCCCCCCAACAACGGCGGGGCGGCCTGGCCCGGCATCTGGCTGGAGCTGTGCAGGGAGCTCGATTTATAGCCGAGGCTTCACTTGGCGGCAGACTCCACCTCCGGCCGGGCCCGCCCCCTTGCAACTTGAGCCCGGAGGGATGCCCCAGCCGCGGGGCCAAAGCCTTAGAAATCAGAAATCCTGGGCCTGGGGCGGGCG